CACCCGCAGGCGCCTGTGTCCCAATAAACCAACCTCTTGCTTTTGCAGCCAGTGTTTCGTGTGATTCTCCTTGGACAGGGATACGGGGGTCTTTCATTGGACGGGGGTCTTTCAATGCAACTATCATAAATGGTAATATAGACTACTGATCAGTAAGATTTAACAACAGGGATGTATTAAAATTTGGAATGAGAGAACCAAGAGGTCAAAGTGACGGAAAGACCTGGCCTCTTTACAAGTCATAGAAGATAAACATTTCACACAAGATGTCATGGAACATCTTAAAAGGTGAAATCAACATGAAGACACAAAGAAGATATGAAGAATTATTGTCCTTATAGGCTTCTGGGAATGAGAGGATATCAATCCATAGTTTAATGAAAATATCATCTGACATATTATAGTATTATACCTGAATGTTTATTGATTATCTACTAAATGTCAGGCATTAAACTCAGCATTTTATATGCATTGTCTCATTTAATTCCCAATGCAGATCCATAGCATGTGTACTGTACTATTCCCTTTTTTGGTTGGGGGAGCAGGTACTGGGGATTGAATTCAAGGGCCTATTTTTGTTTGTCTTTTCATACTGGGGATTTTTTACCAGGGTTACTTTACCACTGAACTAATAGCCCTATTTTGTGTTTTATTTAGAGACCTGTCTCACTGAGTTGCTAAGTGCCTCCCTTTTTCAGCTGAGGCTGGCTTTGAACTCACCATACAGGCATGTAACACCACACCTGGTTATCTTGTTCCCATAAAGGTAGTAAACAGCAGATTTTAAATTCAAACCCAGATCTGTAAAGATCCATGTTCGTGTGTGTGCACGCGCGCGCGCTGGGAATTGAATCTAGGGCCTTGTGCATCAGAGGCAAGTACTCTGCCAACTGAGCTATATCCCTAGTTCCACCAAAGTCCATGTTCTTAAACCTGGAAATCATTCTGATTCTGTTTCTGATGGATGCATCAAGAGCAGACCTGTCATGACAGGGCAATAATAATTGTGGTCAGTAAAATTATTTCTTTACCTGTTCTACTTTTGTATCATTTATCATTCTTCCACTCCAACGCCATACTTCTCTCCAGAGGTTAAATCTATAGCAATAGGGCCTGAAATTACCTATTAGATATATCAAATTTTGAAAGACCCCCCCCCAAAAAAAAGACATTTATTGGCGAACATGGTGGTGCATGCCTGTAATCTCCAGCAATTCAGGAGGCTAAGGTAAAGTTCTAAGCCAGTCTCTCAATTTAGTGAGACTCTGTCTCAAAATAAGAAAATAAGCTGGGCTGGGCACAATGGCAAACACCTCTGATCCCAGCGATTTAGGAGGCTGAGGCAAGGAGGGTCACAAGTTCAAAGCCAGCCTCAGCAACTTAGCCAGGTTCCAAGCAATTTAGAGAAATTCTGTCTCAAAATAAAAAATAGAAAAGGTTAGGGATGTGGCTCAATGGTTAAGCACCCCTTAGTAAATCCACAGTACCAATAAATTAAAATACAGAACAAAAGTATTGGAGATGTAGTTCAGTGGTAAAGTATCCCTGGTAAAAAATCCCCAATATGAAAAAACAAACAAAAATTATTAATTGAACCCTTCCTACTGCCTTTTTTCCTGAGAAGTTCATATCTGATAGAGTGCAGACTCAAACTGTGATTTTGGGAACTAAGCATCATGCTAATGCTAAACATAGTGAATCACAGGAGCTGACAGAATGTACATAGACTTTAAGTGAATTTGTGCTTAGAAAACAAAAGATCTTAAATTCTTCTTGTTCATTAATGCTTCAAGTTTACAAGTTATTGTGGCTAATAGAGAAAGGGGATCAGAGAAATAATTCATGCAATCTTAATTTTTAATATGTTAAGTACCAGTACAGAATCTCTTCCAAAATTCTTCCAAGGGCATTTTCCTAGAATCAGGTAAATGAGAGCAAGCAAGTGACCTACTTACAGCAAAAATTGCTCCAGGTTATAAAGGATGGGAAGTCAAGTGCATCCTGGAAACCACAGCATCTGGTCTTGTTTTATGCCTCATCTATCAATCTGTTGTTACAGGAATTGAGAATTAACATTTCAACTACTGATTCTTCTATTTTGGCTAATGAATTTATATCCTTGTTATTCTTACCCTTCCCTCATCTTCCATTAAAAAAATATGAAAGAGATTGTATGAAGGTCTCAGATGAACTTCACTTTTTATTTATGCCTGAAGTTTTCCTAATGAGGCTATGAAAGGTTAGCCATTTTCTTGAAGTAATTCCATTTTTCATCAATCCTAACTTTTTTTTTGGGGGGGGGCAGTACCAGGGATTAAACTCAGGGATACTTGACCACTGAGTAACATCCCCCACCCCTATTTTGTATTTTATTTAGAGTCAAGGTCCCACTGAATTGCTTAGCACCTCAAAGTTACTAAAGCTGGCTCTAGTCTCAGCCTCCCAAACTGCTGGGATTACAGGTGTGTGCCACAGCAACCGGCAATCCTGATTTTTCATGGAAAGTTGGTTTATTTTTGGTACCAGGGATTGAACCCAGGGATGCTTTACCACTGAGCTACCTTGCTTTGTATTTGATCAAACCCCAGCCCTTTGCTTTGTATTTTTCTATTTCAAGACAAGGTTTCAGGGCTGGGGATGTGGCTCAAGCGGTAGTGCGCTTGCCTGGCATGCGTGTGGCCCGGGTTCGATCCTCAGCACCACATGCAAACAAAGATGTTGTGTCCGCCAATAACTAAAAAAAATAAATAAATATTAAAAAAAAAAAAGACAGGGTTTCACTAAGTTGCTTTGGACCTTGCTAAATTGTTGAAGCTGGCCTCAAACTTGAAATCTTTCTGCCTCAGCCCCGAAACCATTGGGATTACAAGTGAGCATCACCGCACCCAGCTTTGAAAAGTATCATTTGAACAGTATATTTTCAGTACTGTGGGAAAGCTGAACAACAAAATGCTGTAGATTTTAAAATAAATATCTAAATTCTAGAAAATGTTTTTTGTAGCAGAAACTCTAAAAAACATACAACTGGGCCAGGAGCCATGGCACACACCTGTAATCTCAGTAACTCAGCAGGGTAAAGCAAGAGGATCCCAAATTGAAGGTGAACCTCAGCAACTTAGAGAGGGCCTGTCTCAAAATAAAAAACAAAAAGGGATGGGGATGAAGCTCAGTGATAAAGTACCTCCAAATCCAATCTGGGTTTAAACACACACACACACACACACACACATACACACACAATTGGCAGTACTGCTTGAAAAAAAGTGTCACATAAAAATGTAAGATGGATTAGTACTACCCCGATGAATAAAAACTAATTTTCATGTACACTTATTATACTATGTGTAAAAGTTTAAAAAACATAAAAGTATGAAAAGTAGATTTACAACTATATGTTCTTTGAATTTTAATGTTGTCTTTTAGCTCTCCATGCTTTCTATAGAATGGAGTTATCAATTTATCTTTCCACTTGTTCCAATCAGTTGAAATTTTAATTTTTCACTATTTTTTAAAATATGTTTTTTTAGCTTTAGATGGACACAATACCTTTATTTTGCTTATTTTATCTTTATGTGGTGCCGAGGATCGAACCCAATACTTCACACATGTGAAGCAGGCACTCTACCTCTGAGCCACAACCCCAACATCAAATTTTTCACTATTTTTGCCCTGAATCTATCTTATTCAATTGGAGCTCACGTATATAATCTTGGTCTTTTTCAGTGCTTTCACAGCTTCAGGTATAGCTCCATATTCTTGTTTTATTTTTCTTTCTTCACCCATTCATTTACCTTGTCAAAATAATAATTAAGATTATTCCCTTCTGATAAAACACTTGAAAAGGAACAAGGTTACTATTATACTGATCACTGCTATTTGTTGGAAGTTCTGTTCTTTCCAAATCACTGTCAAGTGAATTATTTCTAATGAGCAACAAATAGAGTCAGGTTTATTGTGTTTACTTATCCAAAGATTGTTTTATTCCAAAGGGATCTTACTCCAAATGTCCTCATAAAGCCTTCTTGATTTAATTTCTTAATGTATCTCACTTGGCTTACTGGTTCAGATGACCAGATAAGCCTTTTGAGATAGGGTGATAGATTTTTGCAAATATACATCTAAAATTTTCACTGACTAGGGCAGAACTATTTATACCTGAATCATCTCAGTTGTTTGTCAGTTTATTTATTGGCTGATTGGCTTAACCAACAGAAATTTATTTCTCACCATTCCGGAGGTTGGGAAGTATAGGACCAGGGTACTGGCAGATGGTCTGTCTGATGAAGGCATTCTTTCTGGACTGCAGAAAGACATCTTCTTATCATATCCTCACATGACAGAGATCTCAGATGGTTCATAAAACTGCAGATCTGGGCCCAAACCTAGAACAGTTGGATGGGAGCCTCTAAGTTTAGGAGCCAGGAATCTGCATTTTGCCAAGCTGTCTGTGTGAATGTATACACAATAAAATTGAAGAACAGCCAATCTAAGGACTCCCTTCCCACCAGGTATTCAGTGCATTGATCTGAGCTGCAGAGCAAACTAACCACTCCTACCTTCTAAAGAACATGGAAAATTTGGTTCCATAGGGGAGAACTGTTATAACTGTTTCAAGAAGAATTGGTGTTAAGTTTTTTTTTTCTTCAGTAACTATAATACTGATTCTAAAAAGGAGCAAAGGCCAAAAAGTTATAATTTCCTGATTAGTACTGCACATAATGAATTATTTATTGAATCCCTACTGTGGGCCAAATGTGATATTCTGTGTTGCCAGGGATTATATAAAGCTATCCTGGGACGAAAAGCATATGTTCATCCTCTCTATTTTGGAAGAACATACTTGATTTAGTGATTGCTGGAAATGAATGTGCATAGTACATAGAAAGACACTAATGTGATGTGTTAAGGCCCAGACATAAGAAATTTCCAAAGGATTTGCTACAAGGAAACATTAGATCCAAAAGGTAAAGGCAAAGCACTAGGTTGTAATGAGCAGCAGCATTTATTTTGGACTAAACTCTTCCTGATCAGCCTTGATTTTTTTACCCAATAGTTTCCTTTCCTGTGAAAACTTTCCTCAGATTTTAGGTAGATGAACTGAAAGTAGATTAAACATATTGAGAGCTCCACTTCATGGTAGGACTTGTTTAGTATGTCCTTAGTAAAGGGTGTGTTTTAGCATTGAAAACCCCCATGTTGGGCATGTGCACATAGCAAACAAGACCATGCATTCAAGACAGCAGGAGTTGGGGAGCTACTGCTCCCTCAGGAAGCAGTTGGGATAGAGGGTAGAGGAATTGGTAGTGCAGCTCACAGCTCAAAAAAAAAAAATTGAAGAAAACCCGCATTCCCCAAATCCTTTCACTCTCAAGCAAACTGGATAGGTTTGGTCATCCCGGTCCTGAGAGTAAGGCAGGTAAGGTGCTTGAAGAAGTTTCACAGTAAATAATGATAATCCTTTGCCTTCTTGAATTTCTCAGTTCATTTTCCTTACTAGGGGCTATGATTACCCTAGTTGTCCTCAAAACCTAAAGTTTTTTCCTTTCATAACACCTTCTTTGGGGCCTTGTCAAATCATATCCCTGTGAACTTCCCAAGCAATGACTAAGTTTGGGATCATCCCAGAGAACCAGCGGAGAGTCTCTTCCAAGCCTGCTAAGCACTGATGTCCTCTGCTTTTTTGTGTGAATATTTTCCTGGCTTCATAATATCCTGTTCTTCTTTAAGACTATCTTCATCTCTAAATAATTCATCTAGTATTCCCAAACCTAGCTTCACATTACTTTTTTTTTTTTTTTTTAGAGAGAGAGAATTTTTAATATTTATTTTAGTTTTCGGCGGACACAACATCTTTGTTTGTATGTGGTGCTGAGGATCGAACCGGGGCTGCACACATGCCAGGCGAGCGCGCTACCGCTTAAGCCACATCCCCAGCCCCCACATTACTTTTTTTTTTTTTAAATTAAGAAAATAGACACATATATAGGAAGCCTTAAAAACAAAAAAGGTCTGGATGTAAAACATTAACCGCTTATAGTATTAAATTCTATTCTATTCTTGTCAATGAACTATATACTACAATATTACAAGATTGTAACAGTGGTAGCATTTGCTAATTCAATAATCAGGCTGCAGAATTCTTTAGCTATCCAAGACGATCCCTACAGCAGACAAATACAAACTGCCTTCCCGAGGAAAATATGGAAGGGAATTGTCTCATGACTTTATAGTCTCACCGCCACTATCTAAAGGAAGTGATGCCTCTTTTATCTGGGGACAGGGCTAAAGTTATCTCGCCCCATCTCGCCCCTAGGCAGTCTGTGTAGTCAGAAGGTGATGGCTTTCAGCTTGTTCCCTTAGGACCTCTAGTGTCACGTCGCTCATTCTAGAGGATAAGGAAAAAAAGGAAAAGGGAAAGGGAAAGGAAAGGAGTGGTGGAGGAGAGAAGTAAAAATACGTGAGAGAAATAAAAATATATAACATATTACCAAATACCCTATTCCGTCCCAACTGCCAGTCCTGCCTGCGTGGGCTGCTCAGTCATTTCGTCAAAGGCTTTTCAGGCGCCACCCCCAGGTGTTTGTCAGTACAAAAATGGGAGAGCAGGGTGAGCTCACTCTAAAAACTAAGACAGATGGTGAGGGGTGGCCATGCGCGTCGAGCTTTGGCTAGACAGAGCAGCAGCGCAAGGGACTGCATGGGGTGATGGGAAAGAGTCAAAATCAGCTGGCGTCAGGAAAAAGATTTTTGTTCTTTGCGTTCTCAAGAAGTCTCCCTTATTTGTTAGTGTTGCTCCCAGCAGGCCAACAGGGCAAGGACTTTATGTGATAAGCGCCTTCTCCAATTCAATCTGAGACACAGCAGCTAAACTCTGATCCCTGGAAAGCTGCTTGCAGACACTCTGGCTTCGCGGAAAGACTCAGCTCAGCGAGTACCAGAGAAAGCACGAGATAATGCGAATCCACTCGCGTGCAGCGGCAAGCCATTTCTAGGACCCAACTGCGCTCGTTCGGGGCCTGCGCCGCGGCTCGCGCACGCTCAGTGTAGGGGGCGGGCCGCGGCTCCGCCGGAAGCGCTTTCTCCCAGGCGGCATTCCCTTCCTGTGCAAGGCCGGCTGAGGGTTCCTGCTGCTGCTGTTTCTTCCTCCGGGTGAGTAGCGGGTTCCCGCGGGGCCTGGTGAGACTCATACAGGATCTCTCCGAGCTCTCTTAGGGACTGGCTCCACTCTGGGAAAACCCACCGGAAAGGTCACCTCGCCCTCTTCCAAGTCCCACCTCAGTGCCGCCCTCCAGCGCTCCGTAGCCCTTGCTATCGAGCGGATTAACCTCCAAGGGCGTCCCGGGCCTCGCCTTGGCGTCGGGCCCGCCCTGGGCCCTGGGTCTCTGTGGGCGCAGCCTAAAGACTTATACCATTCCCAAGGGAATCTCTGTAGACAGCCTGGACACTGTGGAGGCTTAGGGTCGTCCCGGGCGACTTCAGAACTAGGGTTCATGGGCCAAGGCAGCCGGAATGAGCCGGGTCTGGTTGTTGCACTGGTGCTTCTATTATTTTGTGCAAAAGTAGAGGTGTTGTGTAACCCAATTTTGAGGGCTGGGCAGGCTTTCACAGAGAATGATGATGTTAACTTGTCCTCTCTGTGAAGGCAGGAAGGCCTTCATCGTAGGGCCTTGAAGTCTGTGAAACTGGGACTTTTTGAGTTTGAGAAACCCGTTGTAAAAAGCTGCAGTGACCTAGAGAAATAATACAGCATGAATGCTATACTCTCGTCTCTTAATCTGCCAGTAAATTGCTCATAGATGAGGTAGTATGATCTTAAAGTTTTCCATCCTGAAATCGAGAAATCAAAATAAACCATTTGGAATTCAGGATTGCCTAACAGATAACTGAATTGCCGGAGTTTTGCGATACATAGAACTGAGTATATGTACATCTTTGTATATTCGTTTTGTTGAACCTAATGTTTATGCAGGATAGAAATGCTTCCATCCTGTTATGTGCATTGGCAGCTTTTATTTGTATTCTTCTGGAATGGTATTGTTTCTACTGTAATAGCCTTACCTTGGGAGTATATCAGTGCTGTAAGAATGTGCTATAAGTGCACATCTCATCTACAGATAAAATGTAAAGTATTTGCAGTTACAGTCTACAAAGCAAGAGCTTTCAGTTTCATTTCAGGATTCTGAAGTCATTTAAAAAGGTAGACAATATACAGTTTTAGAATTGCCATTAGTACACTGCTGTACTGTACGTTAATAATTTTAGAATAGGAAACTATATAAACTGTTTTCTTATCTCGGCATTTTAAAATAGGATTAAAAATTGTAACTATCTTGATGACTTTGGAATGTGCTTTGGAAACCACCTTAATTTGTTCATGTATTTCAGTGAACATCCAGTAGATGGCAGTTTATCACTACCAACTCAAACTTTATAGACCAATGAAAATGTTTTATTGGAATGTCACCACTTTTCACAAATTGTTAATAAAACTCCTACTTTGCCTACTGGATTATTTTCATCCATGAATTGTACCTCAGATTATGCCGCCACACATTCCTACTGCATTTTCAATTTTATTCTGATGGAATAAAGACTGAAGAAGTTGATTTTTCACTTTGTTTGAGAAGTGTTTTGTAACCCAATTTTAAAAATCCATCATAATGGAAAAATCACACTTTGATTTGTTACCTGAGGAAAGATTTCAGTTATGTGTTTTTTTTATAGCTCCATTTAAAAAAATAATTCATTATAATTAATATAATTAGTTTCTTAAGTAGTTAGGCATTATTGTATATCCACTATATAGTAAGCTTTGTATATAGATGTTTAATAAATGGTCATTGAATGAATTAAATTGTTTAATATCCTTGGGCCAAAATTTCTTCATCCAAAATGAAGGACTTCAGTTATTTGTTGTGTTTAAATTACTGTTTTTTGGTACTGGGGATTGAAACCAGGTATGCTTAACCACCTCGCCAATACCCAGCTCCCTCCCACTTTTGTATTTTATTTAGACACTGGGTCTTGCTGAGTTGCTTAGTGCCTTGCTGAGTTGCTGAGGCTGGCTTTGAACTTGCAGTCTTCTGCTTCAGCCACTGGGACTACAGGCATGCACCACCATGCCCATCAGTTATGTTTAAATTAAGTAATGTAATTATTGTGAAGTGAATGGTTCTGAGTAATAATGTGAAACCTTGACTTTTGGAAATTCTGCAGAAGTCTGACTTTGTTGATTGGAAAATAATTTTTGAATAGTCTCTTTGTGTGACAGTTGTAAAGATGTCAATAAGATGAAAATCCTGTTTATGAGGATTTAAACTCCAGTTGAGTAGAATAGATACAAATCCAATAATGATTTAAAATAAGACATTTCTTAAAATTGTGTAGTAGAACTAAATAAATAATATAGAGAGTTAATGTGATTTGAAAGGCTTTATGGAGCAGATAAGGTTAGTGTTTGAAGTTTGTATAGAATTTGAGCCATCTTAAATGAATGAGGGGAAATGGCCCCTCCAGGGCACAGACAAATATAAGACTGAAGGAGAAATTTTGCATTTTCTATGCCAGTGATTTCATTTGTTGAGAGTTCCTAGTGAGAAATTTGAGAAATGGTCAGAGATAAAAGGCTTCAAAGTGACTCTTTGGAGCTAGATGAGGATAGGTTTGAATGCTTCGGAATCTTGCAAAGGGAAAGCTTTGAAGTCTTGATAAGGAAGAAATAGAGTATACGTGAATGAATAGGAGGTCTATAATAGAATTTTAAAAATTAAAAAATATTGTGGAGAGATGTTCCAGAGGGAAGGAGGTGAAGAGGATCTTTAACTTAGAAAACAATAATTTAAGCTGGAAGGACCATGGATTTTAATCTCTGCAGTACCTAATTTTTAGGTGCTATTAAGCTGTTTGCACAATTGTGATTTACTCCTTTCCACTTGAATGCAAAATATATATTCCTCTGTGTGTGTGTGTGTGTGTGTGTGTGTGTGTGTGTGTATTTTGAATGGCATTGTTTGAAAATGAGATCCTATTCCCCAAAATGCAATTAGTCACATCATCTCTAATAAGTTTATTGTTTTATATACTTATTGCCTTTGACAGTGGAGTGCATGCCTCACTGTAAACCCAGCTGCAATTGTTGTAGCTGTTAAGGGATATATACTTTATGTAAAAGTAAGCATATTACTTTCTTTTTCCCTGCTTTATTTTTGTGATAGTTTTCTTAATTAAATCTTTTGAAAGTTCTATTGTTTCATATTTAGCTGGGTTGTTGGGAGCAAAGAGGGATCAAAAAAATTAATATCACTTATTAATTGAGAAAATGGAATACTTAAAATTAACCAGGCTTCAAAAACTTTTAAAAGTAGGTATGAGAAAAAATAAATTATTTCATAGTTTGAATTTCACTCTCAAAAATTATCTGGTATATAGATACCTAATTGAAGAGATAGATTGTCAGCATCTTATTAGTAAAGTATTTCATTGTCAGGCAGCCTTTCTTCAGTTAGATTAGTGTAAAGTCATTATTTCCAGATTTCCAGATTCTCTGGAATATTTATTTAAAAACTGAAAGTCACTTATGACCATATTTTTCAATAAAATTATTCTACTCTTAAATAAACTTGTTTTTTAATCTACTTCAATTTGTAAGAAAAGCTTTAAATGTGTTTGTTCATTTAACATTGAAAATCCACTTCTCCTTAAAAATGAAACACATTTTTCTAAGGTAGGTAGTGTTTGAATTTGATTAGAAGCTTCTTGCTTAGTTCAAACATTTTAATAGTCTCTCAATGTTAATGAATATAGTTATTATTTAGTGACATTTCTCTTTGTTTTTTAAGGTTAACAATCAAGATGGTACATGCTGAAGCCTTTTCTCGTCCCTTGAGTCGGAATGAAGTTGTTGGTTTAATTTTCCGCTTGACAATATTTGGTGCAGTAACATACTTTACTATCAAATGGATGGTAGATGCAATTGATCCAACCAGAAAGCAGAAAGTAGAAGCTCAGAAACAGGTATGATTGAAATGTTTGAAGATAATTTCTTTTATGGCGAACAAACATTCTCCTTCAAAACTAAAAATAGAGTAGAATTTTAAATTAATAAGTTATATAAACCTCATAAGAAATGCAATGGTACTGAAAATGAAAGTCGCTGAGATAACAGGCATGTGCCACTATGCCCAGCTGAGTTGTGACTCTTGATTCATTCAATAAGCATTTATGCTTGGTGTTAAGGAAGAAAGACAATAACTCTTGTTCTTTCAAAATGCAGCAGACAAATGTTGAGAAGAGGGCTGCATTGTAGGCATATCTCTTTTTTTTTTCATTAGTAATATGATTTATCTTCATTGGCTTACAGTGTACCAGCATATTCAGAAATTCTTTTTTCTTTTTTTTAAAAATTAATTTTTAAATTATTTCTTACCTACATCACAATAGAGGAGTGCATTAAATTTATAATTTTTTTGCATTACAATTCTTAATACACCTTTATACCACAATTTATCAAATCTCTGTTTGTATATAAGGTATGTTGACACCAAATTCACATCTTCATGCTTGAATTTTGTATAATGATGACCATCTACAGGCATACCTCTTAAATCAGTAAAAAGTGAAAAATCACAGTTTCATTAACACTGATAGTAAATATATATCTTGATATATATGAATTTATTTCTTAAATTTGATTATAAAATAATTGGCTCAAGGTCTACTTATATCTTTAGCCTATTTATAACATGCTGGGAAGTCTGAGCAGTGTAGGTTGAAAAACAAAAAACTCACCATGGCCAGGTACTCTGGTGCGCACCTGTAATCCCAGCAACTTGGGAGTCTGACATAGGAGGATTGCAAGGTTGAGGACAGCTGTGGCAACTTAGCAAGACCCTGTCTCAAAATTTTAAAATGGGGGTAGGATGAAGC